CTATAGTGTGCTCCAAAACAATGACAGAATTCGCATTTAGAAGATATAAGCATTCAAAACTTACAGTCTCAGACTTCTGCCAATATGGATAAATGATTTTGACTCACTCTGCACTTCAGCTTCTAATCAGATTTTCTGTCCAATCAAATCATCTCTAGAATATGAAGCATCCCGCCCCCTACATTATAAGATGCTGAAACTGCAGCTAAAATCGGTCACTTGTTCCCTCATTTACTATTTTCTACATGGTGAATGGTACATAGTGCACTATACGAATGAAATCTGGTTTCACGTCAGTGTCACTGAACCGCCGCAGCGCACACAGTCTTCTCCGGTCCAGAGACACGATAGCACAGAGCGGATCATTATGTGTGAGTCTACGCATAGGCTACCAGAAAACGTACCTGACCCATTAGAATTCTGCACAGAACTGCGGCTTTAAACGCTAATTGGGTATTTTTTTAAAAGGGGTAGAGCTGTTTGATGTGTCGCTCCCTGTCTTCCTGTTTCAGTGGAAATTACGTAAACACATTGAATAATGTTGCGCGTTTCAAGGCACTTCAGTGGTACTTTAATGTTTCCTTGTTTGTCCTGTGCTTGAGCACATGGCTCTGCCTTTGTTTGTGTTGGCCATGTGCTTCTCTTATCCCACCTCCTTGTTTCCGTTACCATGCCCCCTTGTTTAGTCGTTGTCCAGTCTTCGTTGACCTGATTGTGTTCACCTGCGGTCATTGTGTGTGAGCATTTCTTGCTTGTCTTCAGGTTTTGTCAATCACTGCTATAGGTTTCCCTGTCAGTCCTAGCTTTGCATTCTTGGACCACTCCTCTTCTCCATCTACACCACATCATTGGGACCCATCATACAGGCACATGGTTTCTCTTACCATTGCTATGCTGATGACACACAGCTCCACCTCTCATTTCAACCAGATGATCCCACAGTAGCTGCACGGATCTCAAGCTGTCTGGCGGACATCTCGGCATGGATGAAGGAACATCACCTGCAGCTCATTTACATTTACATTTATTCATTTAGCTGACGCTTTTATCCAAAGCGACTTACAATTGCTATATATGTCAGAGGTCGCACGCCTCTGGAGCAACTAGGGTTAAGTGTCTTGCTCAGGGACACATTGGTGTCTCACAGTGGCTTCGAACCCGGGTCTCTCACACCAAAGGCATGTGTCTTGGCAAAGACTGAGCTTCTCGTCCTCCCTGCCAATCCGTCTCTACAGCACGACTTCACTATCCAGCTAGAGTCATCCTCAATCACCCCATCAAGGTCAGTCAGAAATCTTGGAGTGATATTTGATGACCAGCTGACCTTCACAGTCCACATTACAAAGACAGCTCGATCATGCAGGTTTGCAACGTATAACATCAGGAAGATCAGGCCTTTCCTAACTGAGCATGCAACACAACTTCTCGTCCAGGCCCTGGTTATTTCTAGGCTTCATTACTGCAATGCTCTTCTGGCTGGACTTCCATCATGTGTTACTAAACCTCTACTAATGATCCAGAATGCTGCAGCTCGTCTTGTCTTCAACGAGCCCAAAAGGGCCCACGTCACTCCTCTGTTCATCTCCCTGCATTGGCTACCACTCGCTGCTCACATCAAATTCAAAGCTTTGACGCTTGCTTACAGATCTACCACAGACTCAGCTCCGTCCTACTTTCACTCCCTACTACAAGTCTACGTCCCTACCAGAAGCCTACGATCGGCCAAGGAGCGACGGCTCGTGGTACCATCACAGAGAGCCACAAAATCACTCTCCAGAACATTCTCATTCACGGTTCCATGCTATTGGAATGAACTCCCCACCCTCGTCCGTAATGCAGAATCCCTGACAGCATTCAAAAGACAACTGAAAACTCATCTCTTCCGTGAGTACTTAACATAAAACAAATAATAATAATAAAAAAAAATCTTCCCTTTTAAATCTTCCCTTGACTGGCTTTTGCTACTCTGAGCAATGCCTGAACTTTGTATTTTGAGCACTTCTTGCGTCGTTCTTCCCTCTTCACGATGACTCGCTTGCTTTAGTCCTCAGATGTAAGTCGCTTTGGATAAAAGCGTCTGCTAAATGACTAAATGTAAATGTGTATTTATTTCCTTTGTATTTTTTTTTCTTTTTTTCTTTGTTTCCTGTTTTTTTATTCTATAAGTTCCAGTCTTTATTTTGCTGTAGTTCTCCCAAGCCTTTTTTTTTTTTTCTCTTGACTTTTATTTTATTGCTAACTAATCTTTCATTTATTTTCTCTCCAGTTCTCAGCAAGGTTGCAGTCTTGTTTTATTTATCTTTGTTTGCAAAGTCATTTTTTAGATAGCCGTTTTTTTTCTTTTTTTTTTTTTTTCTTTGCTAGCTCGTTATAATTTAGTTTCTTGTTTTCTGTAGTCAAAGTATTCTTTTTTCTTTTGTGATCTCTCTTTTGTTGTCTTGTCTTGTTGAATCTTGTCATGTTGGTTACAGCTCTGCTGTGCTTCCTGTGTCTTCCCTGGTCACTGACTCTCCTGACCTGGCAGCCAGTCTGATGCTTCTGCAGTTACTTTTAAGTGTTGAGGCTCTGATTTCCTGAGCCGCTGCCTTGTCTCCATCATTGCCTTAGCATCAGGAGCTGCCTCATCCCCGACTAGCCTGTTCTCCTGTTTTGTGCCCTGCCCTTTTGTTTGGACTGTGTTCCTGCCTCATCTTATGCTGCATCTTCGCATCAACTGAGCTTCACCTTTGTTTCTCTGCATAGCGCTCTAATGCAATGTAAAAGAGAGCTTATTGATCTTCTGGCTACAGCCTCTTACTAAGCCATCTATCAAAACACATTCGTTCCACGCCAATATTGACTGCTGAACCCACTATTGCGTGAAAGCAAATTGACCTAGGACCCCTCTGGATTAGTGATAACTCCTCCCATTGCTAAATGTCCATAGCACAGAGGACTAGTTTCTGCACTCTTTTTTTTAGGACACACTACGCAAAGCATCCCACCAGAGCTTTTCTGAATTATCTGTATTTCTGTGTTCATTTAACTTAAAATGAAAGCTTTAAATGAACAAATGACACTGTGTCCTGCAAAATGCCTCAAAGAGTCCCCCAATCTGTGACACTCCCATAAGGGTATATACATGATATAAGGTAATTGTTTTGAAAGAACCCAAAAAGTTTTGTCTCATCCGACTGTGGTGAGCTCAAAAAAGCTGTTGGTTTCATCAAGTTGGCTTTGGCATGCTTCAAATGAGTGCAGAAGATATTTTTAGAGAGCAGTAATTTCTTCCCTGGTATGTTCACATACACGTCTGTCTCTTTAGGTATTGTCTTTATCAGGGTCTTACACATTTGGATTGCTTAGCAATTGCAAGAAAAAAAAATGTAATAAAACAAAAACCTTGAATTCTGAGAAACCTCCAGTTCTCTGAGAGCTCCTGAAGTACAGTATTATGCATTTAATATGATGCGTAGCTGCACACTAATATGAACAGACACAATGCTGTTGGATTTCCTCATTTGAACACTATCTGGTTGACCGGTGAATTTATGGAGGTCAAAGTCTTTAGTCTTAAGAATGGTTTTGTAAGTCATTCCAGTCTCATTAATATCGACACATCTTTTTTTGAAAGTCTCATTTAATCATGTCATGACTGAGTTCATAATCGTAGTTGGGAGCATATTCTGCGATAGCAACAGCCAAAGTCTGTGTTTGCTTTAGGGAACGGCGCTGAAACTTGCACCTGATTGTCATCTCACTGATTGGAACATCTAACTGAAATTACCCTTTTTAGAGAGACGAAAAATCTAGATTCACATTTGTGGTATTTACAAATAGATTGTGAGTAAAAACATGCTCTGTGACTTAGATGACGATTGGCTCACAATTTAAGTTACATTCAAAACTGATTACAGTTATTCAAAAGGGTTAAAAACTTTCTACCACCACTGTATGAGGTTTACAATCATTCATATATCAAAAACAGACAACTCTAAAGTGTTCACTCTCTTCTCTCTCTTTCTGCGTCACTGGAGAACTTCATAATTGCAAATCATGGAGAAGGATTTCTGCCTGGTGAGGGGAAAGAGCACTTTCTAAATGTGACAATCATGAAATTACCTTGCCATTAAATTTACCGAACTGTCAGCATCTAGTCAACACAGCTGATTATGTGGAGTGTAAGCCACTAAAATCCACAGTAAAACACTGAACATAGAGGTGAAACTTAAGACATTTGAAAAATAGGTTTTGCTATGCAAAAGCTTAAGTTGTCATCAGCTAAAAACTATTTAAATAGAATGATAACATGATGCTCTATTTAAGTGCCTGTTGTTTCATTACAGCCTCTTAATATTTAAATATGATAATGCATCAATATTTAATGGAAGCTTTAATTAATCCACATTTCAAGCACCTGAAAGTCACACCGTCTAGGCCAGTCAAGTTGCTTCTTGCACCTTTGGGCAAGGTACACAGATCCACTCTGTCCTTAGAGACAGTTTGTGTAGATTACATAACGCTATGCCAAATATAAAGAATGTCTGTCATAGCCTATGACATTTGTATTCATGAATAATAAATTATCTCCACAGACATGGGAAGCAGTAACAGTGTTATTGCCAAGCCACTTGTTGAAATTTCTTATAGAAAATGAACATTAAAATGTGTTTCAAAACGGGATTCGCGTGAGTAGCCAATTTTGATTAGAATATTATTGAACGAAATACCAGAGAAGTTCATAAAAACAGAATTAATTATGCTTCATGTCACAAGAACTGAAACTGACAAATGTGAGAAAGTAATGTCTCTAAGTTTATGATTTCTTTAAAGACTGTGACAAATGGGCACACAATAATATATAGCTAACTCCCATATAAGGACACTTTTCGCTTTTAAGCTGTGTATGTTTCACAGCAGTCCAAACATTTCTGTGTAGGCTATTCATCTTTAGCACAGAAATAAGTGAATAGTTTTTAGTATTTCAGGGTATTTCAGTTAATGATGAATGAATCACTCACCATTTCTGTGAGGAGCACGCAGGTCAAAACCATGGCACGACTCTAAATCCTCCTGTGGAAATTCACATCCTCGCATGGAAGAGAGTCGATTGCAAAGAAAAGGACAACTTCTATAGTCTTTACCGGGTTTGCGGAATGTCCACTGTCGGCGATGGGCACAGTTGTGAGAGTTTAACGTGTGACGCTTATGTCAGAGCAAACTAGATACGCGCGTGAGAAGCGCGCGGGCAGTTCCGTGGCTCGAGCACCCTTCAGTTTCCACAGTGAAAAGCAAACTGAAGTCTCAAGTCCCTCCTCTTTCACACCACTTCCACCTCCAATGTGTTTATTGCCCTTTTCAAGAAACGCGTGTCCAGTGTCGTTGTCGTGTGTACAACATTAGGAAGCGCGCGCGTGCATGTTTCAATTAGGCGTAGGCACGTAATGTATGCAACTATGCATATTCTTCACAAACGTATTTGTTAAGTCAATGAAACTAAATTATTAATAATGATAATTTAGATGTTTTTGTGAAACTAACTCAATTTGCTCATGAGGATCTGCCACTATTGTGCCTAGCTCATTATAGATACAAGCATCTGCAGCTTGCTATTTACGTTCTAAATATAGGCTATATATTTATTTAGAACATCACCGTGATATTTACCATTACCAATAGTAGATTATATAGATAGATAGATGGAATATTATTTCCCCCCTTTGTTGGGGAGTATGCTAATTAAAATGTCAAATTAAAATGTAAAAATCGTTTCATGTAATCAAATCTTAAATTTGATCAGTCTTTCCTGGAATGTCATATCTACAGTTGAATAAAATTCAGATGATGATACAAAATGGACACCTATTCATTTTTGGCTCTGGTTAAAGTGTGTGTCTCACTGCTTTGACATAAACTACAATAAAAAGTACTTGTAGGCTATATAATACAGTTTAAAAATGTATCCACAACAAGAAGTCGTTAAATATTACTTAGATGTGGTACTGAGGAAGGTAAAGACCATAAAGGGAACTGAAAATAGCACACAATTGAATAGAAACTGCAAATGGAGACACAGCGTGAAATGTCAGTCATTTTTTTTCTCAGTGTTGCAGTTAAACATGGATTTGCTCTCTACTCCCTTGATCCTCTGTATCTAACCTTTTTAATCCGCGTGTCTCACAGCCTCTTTTAGCTTCTCTAATTCTCTAATCTATATAGCCTATAGTTTAAAAAATACATAGCCATACAAATCTTCACTTACAAAGCTTGAAAGGCCAGGTCCAACAACAACTCTGTTTACATAGCCACATTGCGTGACAAAACTAAGCTATAAAAAAAAAACTTGCAGAGAAAATATATCTGTAATAAATGATTCTCACCACCAACCCTGATGAAAACACCAGTATATGTTGTGATTTGAATGCTGATGTGCGTTTGTCCTCTAAACCAGCATAAATCAACCTGAACCAGCAAGGATATTCTTCTTTACCCAAGATGCTTTTAAAGCAGGAATGGTTTATATATATATAAAGAAAGAAATATAAGAAATATTTATGAACAATTGTACAAAAGTCAGAAAACATAAACACCAAGACCCCTCACAGTCTTGTTAAAGAGCCAAGGGGGCATGAGAACGAATCGGTTACCTAACGTAACCTCGGTTCTCTCTAGAAGAGGGAACGAGTATTGCGTAAGCTAGCTTACGCTGCGGGAAAGATTCATCTTTGCTGAGATATTGAAGCCAAAAATTATTTCATAATTTGTATCCATACACAACGCAGTTCCTCTGCGGCAGACCTAGAGCAGGCTAGCTAGCAGCTCATTGGTTCGCTCAGAGAGAACTGCTTAAGCCTATGGGAGAGCGGGGCTGAACCCGCTTCCAATGAGAGGCGCCCGCGCGCTCATTGCGTCATGGACCGCCAGAATGGGCGTGGCCATGGTGTATATAACAGTCTCTCCCAGGCTTATATGTTGATTTATTTCAGCGTGAAGCGAAACGCTAGTAGCGCAAGCACGGCCGGGAACGCAATACTCGTTCCCTCTTCTAGAGAGAACCGAGGTTACGTTAGGTAACCGATTCGTTCTCTTACGAGAGGTTCTCTCGTATTGCGTAAGCTAGCTTACGCTGCGGGAACACCTGGTCAACGCCGTGCGCGCTATGAATCCACTCATGAATCCCAGGGTGATACCGGGGGATTTTTAACGTGGAGTGAAGTATTTAACGTGGAGTGAATGTATTATGAGGCCGCTCTGCAAGCTTTCGAAGGAAGCGTGGGGGAAGAGCGCCATCTAGCAGAGGGCGGGCAGAGGTGTGCGGCGACCAAGTCCTCGACGGGCGGCATGGCTGAGTAGCCTTTCTCGGCGGCTCCGTCCACCGAGCGCAGCGAGGCGGATATATCAGAGCGGCTTCTCCTCCGCGGCGTCATCGGAAGCGACAGAGCGGCCACTCGGCGGCAACTGTATGTCCGGCAGGGGCGGGGAGGGAGAGCGGGAAGCGGGAGGCGGCGGCGGCGGCCCGCATTGTTCCGCTGGGGGCTCCGGCGGCCTCTGGGAGCGGTGTTTTTTCTTACGTGGCGAAGAGGAAGGCGGCGCGGGAGCGGATTTTGCTGCCAGAAGTCGTGCCCGCAGGGACGACAACGGCAGGCTCTCACAGAAGTCGCATCCTCCATCCGCGAGGGCGAGTTCTGCGTGCTCGAGTCCCAGGCAGAGAGCGCAGATGACATGGCGGTCTCCGTCCTCGAGACGAGCGCGGCAAGAGCCGCAGGAAAAACGAGACATCTTTAAAAAGACGCTCGGCTCTTTTAGATATAATAGAGAAGGATACAGTCGTCGGATGGCGCTAGCTTGCAGGGCGGCTGAAGGTGGCGAAGACGGCCGGCTTCTTCAGGGTCCGGGAGCTCGCTAGAGTGATGCCTTCTCGACGGCGACGGCTTTTCTCAGGACAGCAGAAGCGTGCAGCTTGCTGAAGATGAAATGAATCAACATATAAGCCTGGGAGAGACTGTTATATACACCATGGCCACGCCCATTCTGGCGGGCCATGACGCAATGAGCGCGCGGGCGCCTCTCATTGGAAGCGGGTTCAGCCCCGCTCTCCCATAGGCTTAAGCAGTTCTCTCTGAGCGAACCAATGAGCTGCTAGCTAGCCTGCTCTAGGTCTGCCGCAGAGGAACTGCGTTGTGTATGGATACAAATTATGAAATAATTTTTGGCTTCAATATCTCAGCAAAGATGAATCTTTCCCGCAGCGTAAGCTAGCTTACGCAATACGAGAGAACCTCTCGTAAGAGAACTGGAGGTCTCCCTAAATTATTTCCTGGAGGAATGAATGATATATTTTGAAAAGACTTCATTAAGAAAATTTTTCCATGCCCTTGAGCCTCACACATTTCCCTGTCTCTAACCCCAGTTTTCTCTCTGTACAACCAATATTGCTGTCTAGTCCAGTCATCAGCCAGAAAGGATCATTATTATGCCTCTGTACTCTGTCATGCCATATAAAAATGGAAGGCACTTACTAAATCAACAAAACAGAGGCTTGTGTGCCGAGACTGAGCATGCGCTCCTTCAGTTCACTATATGTATTGAATGTGCCTTCACCTTAGACCATGCTCTACAGTAAGATATTCTCTCGCAGTATATAAAGTATATAATTCCATTGCATTCGGATCTTTCTGCTCTTTCATGTGTATAGCCAAATTACTAAGGCACCTATTCATTGTTCCTGTGAAATCTCACTCCCACTCCTCCTGCAGAGTGGTAGAAAAATGGAAAAAGATTCCTCTTCAAAATAGTAATTTTTCTGTTCTGCATCCTGGTACAATGCCTCTTGCATTACTTTCTCTTTGTTATGGAAAATAGGTCGACTGCTTCCCTCTAGGTGTGTGTAAAGGGTGAATGAACAGCTAGTACATTCAAATGTTAGTCATACATCTTTCATGAATGTGTGTGCACCTGTTTGTGCTGACATGAAGTATATATTCAAAGTTTGCTCTTGGAACATATTCATGCCATCAGACAAAGCAATTATGAACCGTAATAGAGTAAGTTAAAATAAACTTTTTTATTATACATTTAATTCAATTGATGCCAGGTTAAGGCAGAAGCATCAATGCGAGTACAAGTATATGAATGCAGATGCTTCTAGCTACACAAGCATGTCGAGAAGCACACATTTCAGTTACATATTGGTTATTAACTTCTCTTTTATTTTATATTTATCGGTATCAGCTGATGTTAGATATTGAACTGTGCAATAAATTAAAGTAATATTGGCCATTTAACGGTTATCAGTCTTAACGTGAAAATAATTATCGGTTTTATTATCACCAGAATTTTAATATCACTTGCAAGCTCAATTTCATGTGTTATTACCAAAATATGCCAGACCATAATTCATAACACAATGCAAGTACATACTCCATTACATACTTCATAAGTATAACAGTTATTATCATTTAAAAAGAGGGCACAACAGCCACAAAAGGCCACCATAAAATGACAAATAGGACATCCCAATTTTGTGATCAACTGCAGCATTTGGGAAGTGTTTATCACTATAGGCTTTTTTCTTTGGCATCATTTAAAATATAGTGTTAAAGGGATAGTTAACTAAAATAATAAATTTTTAAATTACAATTCTGTCATCATTTACATGACCCTCAGTTTGTTAATTTCACCTGTATGACTTTCTTTTCTCTGAATATTTTGAAGAATGCTGGTAATCAAACTTTGGTGTCCATTGACTTCCATTGTATGGACAGCAAATATTCCTCCTGAACTGTGAGAGTTTGCTGTACCCAGAGGAATCAAGTCTGATTCAGAAGTAATGCTGAGCAATATTATTGGCTTTAAGTTCTCATCATAACATGTCTATAAAGGACAAACAAGGAAGGACTTGAAGCTCATTCACTTGAACTTGTTTAGACGGCCACAATTTTCCATCTCACTGTACTATGTGAGCTCTTCGCTTATAATGCACACCGAGCACAAAGTGATAACCAAACTGGATAATGCGCTTGTGTATTTGCCCAGACTCCTAAGTGACCAAGTGGCTCTTTCTTAATGATTTTTAATGTCTCACCCAGACAAATGCACTTAGACTAGTGAATACTGGCTTTTATCTTATCTAGATGACAGCTGTTGCAGTTTTATGGAGCATCTTTCCTTTTCAGAGATTTCACTTTGGAATTTGTATTGCACTGCATTATTTTAAGTCTAAACGGGGTATTTCGTGCAAGAAGTTTATGAGGACAT